CAGCGTCCCACGGCCCCCGCCGGGCTCGGACACCGGGAAACCAGAGCGCTCTCCCTGGAAAGTGAAACCCGTCGGGTGCTGCCCCCAAACAAGTGACATTCGGAAGCGCGCGTCTCCTCCGGAAGGTGTAATTTTTTTTATAGGAGAAAATGCTACTCCTGAGAGCTAAGGAAGAACCTCCGCGCTTTCGGTGTGGCTTTGGAATGAAGCATTTTGCAGCTGTTGAAGGCTACTACGTACTGACGTGGCAATTTTTAGCTAACGGTGTCTTTTATGGGGGCCACCGCATCATCTGGGGTTTTTTGTTTGTGGCAGAGGACAAGGGCCTGCAGTTCAGTAGCTTGTGATTTTTCTGTTCATGGATTGCACTGAAATAGTTCAGGGTACAGATGCCAGCGCATAACGCTGAGTCTCGCAGGGGCTCGTTCTTCGGCCTTCGTCCTTCTCAGGAGCGCTCGGGCTAGCTGTTCGTAAGCGCAGATCAAAAGCTCGTGCTGTGCCTCTGGCGTACAAGTCGCTGCGTTAGCAAAGCTGATGCATGAGATCTTATAACGTAACGGTGAAAATACAGACACCGACAGCAGTTTTGCTTTCCAGCCTTGAAATCTTACCACGGGTTTGATGGTGACAACTAGAGGGGAAAAAATCTTAGTGCTGGTGACGAGCTGGCCAGTGTACTAGGACAGGTAACAGACCTACCCCTAATGTGCACTTCCCAGAAAGAACTTGGAGGAAGAGAAGAGGCAGGGCAGAGCAGGGACTCTGGCAGTTCCGCTGAAGGACTGCACAGGTGAAAAACCTGAGAATTTAACACTGCTTTTTGACAGGGAGTGAGGCCTGGTTGCAAAGCAGGTGGTTTTGTTCTTGGATCAAGCTAATTGAGTGTTGTCCCTGTCTATTATGAGCAGAAAATGAGTGAAAACTTTGAAATGAGTTCCCATCATTTCTTTGACGTGGCGCGGAAGCTGTAAATGACATTTCACAATACCTTTGATGTGATCCGGACATTAACATAATTATCCTCCTTAATTATTGTTTCCTGCTTTACTTTTCTTACAGCTTCAAAGACTGCTCTTTTCTAAGCTGTCTCTGCTAGGATCTGTAAATGCAGATGTGCACAGACTTTTCCACTGATAGCAGAGGAACGCTTTGGCCTAGTTTTAGAACATGAAAGGCCCCGGGCGGCAGAGGCTGTGTGCTGGGGGGGGGGGGGGGGGTGGGGGTAGAAGTATAAAACTGACACACTCCAATGCTTGCTTATGTGTCAGGTTGATTTGTTTCTGTTCCAGATATCTTGTTTCTCTTGTCCCATGTATTTTACTGAACCTTTCTAATTACCTGCTAAAACATCTTTAGGGTATTGTCATTAGAATAACTTTCCCTCCTCAAGCTGTCTCCTGCCATACTTCTTTCTCTCTCTTATTCTGCTGTTCTGTGTTGCAGCTTAGTTGGGGGGGGGGGTCCGTAAAAGGGTTCTCCTCAGTCACTGGGGCTGGGCATTTTCAGCAGTTTCTCTCTTCCCTCCCCTCCAAACACAGGCTCTGGTAGTTGGTGCGTTCTCGTGGTTGAGGGTCAACATCATAAGAAAGCACAGTGCCTGTCAGTACAACGCAGTACAGGGGCATTACCCCAATGTGACCTTTTAAGGGTTAAACTGCATCTCCCAGATGTTTCCAGTCCTGACCCTACCTGCATGGTCTTAATTTGCAAACGTAACTCCTTGTCTTGCAGACTTGTCAAGAGACAAAGGATCTCGGTGCTCTAACAAAAGCAGCTGACTTTGTGAAAGCATTTATACTTGGGTTTCAAGTAGAGGTGAGTCTCCCAACAGCCCGATTGTGAGATTGCTCAGATTCGCTTGCATCAAGTCTTTGGCCTCTCTGCAAATTACAGTTAAGAAAGAAATAAAAAGCTTTAGGTGGTTTTCTAGAAATATATTTGTTTGAAACTGACTGGAGGGGAAGTCTAATTTCTTAAGCTAATGCAGAATAAAAAGGTAATCTTCAAGCAGCACATTAAAATTATGAAATGGGGGAAATATTTAATGGTATGTGAGAGGCAAGCAGGAAATTATCTTCTGTCTGCATCAGAGGTGCTCTACGTATGCAGGGATAGTTCATTTTGCTTTAGTCCAAGTCAGTAACCATTACTCAGTTCAAAACTCCAAACTGACTTAGAGAAAACTACTTTTTGTAGTATCGTACAGGCTGCTCGTTGCTGCAGACTTGTACTGAATTCACTAGTGTAGGTGGGTCCGTGGTGAATGTGGGGGGCCTAAACAGGTGTAGGGTTCTTTACACAGAAATAAACGCTTATGTTGCTACTGAAAAAAACACTGATCTAACTTTAGCTGACTCTTGTTTGATACAGTAAGTGGGGAAACGCTACTGCCATCACCTGTTCGTATGTGTAAAGAAAACACATAAGCTTGCAACTCTGTCATGGTACTGTAACACCCAGGCTGATAACAAATCTCTTAATATTTTAGGATGCTCTTGCTCTCATCAGATTAGATGATCTTTTTCTAGAGTCATTTGAAGTTACAGATGGTAAGTAATCTCTGCTGAAGTATCAAGTAGTTGCATGTACCATCTGTGAGTCTATTTGTAGGGATTTTTCCCCCACTCCACTTGTCACCTCTCCCCATGGATCAGGAAAACCTTCATGTCAATACACAGAATTATTGTCTAGGTGCAGGTGGCTCGAAAGGGTTGTCATTTTTGTAAGATGTCCCAACAAACCCCTCCAAACCTTCGTCCTTAAAAGCATGTCAGTTTGTCAGTGATTGGATTGTTCTTGTCAAAGCATAAACATTGTTTTAAACTTAAAGGTGGCATGGAGCATTTTGGGGAATACACCTACTAGATTCCTGCAGTGGGCTTTGTTCCTCCCCCAATCCTGACAGTGAGGGGTGGGAAGCAGGCAGCAGAAACATGCATTTTTTTCATGTTATTACTGAGACTCCTTGGGGCAGACTCTAAGGAGAGCAGCATCTAAATGTGTTCTGTTTCATTTCTGGTGGTGTTAATTGTGTGCGCTCTGGCTCCATTTCCTTGCTCAACCTTAACTGCTCAGTAACAAAGAGAATGCCTTCCAGGGCAGTTCTGTATGAGAATTTCTCTCTCATGCTAGAGACCCCAGGGGTTACGTACCCCTGGATGCGATTTTCACTTCTAGTCATATAGGTGAATATAGATGTATCTATCTACAGCAAACTTGCTTTGGTATTACTTAAAATGAGTTGTTTTCCAGTAACTTGAACAAGGGAAGCATTACCGAAATACACACCACTGCTGTTACATGGAGCATGTTATTCTCGTTTTAGTGAAGCCTTTGAAAGGAGATCATCTGTCAAGAGCAATAGGGAGAATAGCAGGGAAAGGCGGAAAAACAAAATTCACTATAGAAAATGTAACCCGGACGCGAATAGTTCTTGCTGATGCGTAAGTATGAACCTCCTTCCTTCTAGGCAGAGCACAATCCCTAAATTAATCCATGTCCTTTTCCTGGAACAAAGATAACTCGCATTTTTTGAAACAGTTGTAGAAGAGTAGTACGACAAATAGTTTCTTGTTTTTAATGAATGCTGTTTGAGTATTTATCCTTTTGTCACAAGAGCAATGGCAATGTCACCAGCACACCTAGAATGGAGCGATTCCCCACAGCAGCAGAATTCCTTCTGATGAATAATCAAAGTTGAGCCCACCAACCCTGCAACAATGTTTTCCTCCTACAGCTGCTACACTGTTAAATTTGAAATTTGTAAATTTGTTTTATAAAGGACTTAGAAGAGCACACGTTCTACATTGTAGGTTTTCTGATTCTGAGTGTTTGGGTTTTTTTAATTAGAACTGTGGAAAAGGAACTAGTGTGCTCATCTGAAATTCCACATTCACCTCCAGCTTAGATGCACTATTATTTATGTAGTCACAGGGAGGTTTTTTCCCCGTTAACTAATGCTTCAACTGCTTTTTACAGGAAAATTCATATTTTGGGATCTTTTCAGAACATCAAAATGGCACGAACAGCAATCTGCAATCTAATTTTAGGCAAGTCCCATTATCTAATTTTCTCCATGACATATAAATAGATCTTGCAGTCTGAAAAACTGCTTCCTGGGGAGTCTTACCTTCTTTCCTGGTGGGTCCACACCTGCATTTGGAGCAGGTAGCTTGCTGGGAGTTGCCTTCGTGCCCTTAGGAGGGTTTGGGGAAGAAGCAGGGAGCCCAGGGCTTGGTTTCTGGCTCCAAAACCCTCTCCATGGTGCAGAAGGAAGATTTTCTGCTCTTTGCTTTAGCTGCAGCATCCCCTTTGGGGCTACTCTGAACACAGTCTAGAAAGCCCAAGGGCACAGCCTGCGCTAACAGCAGCAGCAGCTTAACTCTGTGCTTGCAGCAGCAGACTGGGTGGCTAACCTTGACCGTCTTTCTCACCTGTGGGCTTATTTCCACTGACACAGACACGAGAGTGAAATCTCTGTGATGTGTGGTGTTTGCTGACTGGATCTGTGCTTTCTCCTGCAGGAAGCCCTCCCTCAAAAGTTTACGGCAATATTCGGGCAGTGGCCAGCAGAGCAGCTGAAAGATTCTGAGCAGCAGGGCGGCTGCACCACCCAGGACTGGGGCTGGGAGTCATGGTTTCTGTATGCACCAGAGGCCTGGAGCTACACAAGCACTCAGTCTTCTAGCTGATCTGGAAGCCTGGAAGAAAACCATGACTGTTTGTGCAGTCTGATTTCATTCAGAGATGCTGTCTGATTTGAACACGCTTAATATTTCTGTATATTCATTAAAAGTTATTTTAAATTGGTTGTATCCAGATCAGAAGTATGGATGCCTAATTTTACTTAAACTTACCCTCAAACAAAACCATGCTTTATTACTGATTTTCTGAACATCGAAGTATGAAGAGACTGCTGTGAGGACTTGGGAAAGCCTCTGAGCCTAAAGGAATCAGCATTGTGAAGTGTTCACACCCACACATCACAGATCTGTAGCTTCCTGGAACAAGGAAAAGTCAACTGGAATGCAAAGTTCAATGGCAGGCTGCCCAGCAGGTCTCTGCTGCTGATGGGACAGTGCACCACACAAAAATGGTTAAAAGACAAACAGATAGTGTATTTGAACTTAATCCTAGAATCTGCACCTATATCCATGACTATTTTTTTGTTCTCTCACAACTGACCTGTAAGGGCAGCCCAGTGAAGCCAAGAGCCACCAGGTTAAGTGCTTGCCAGAGCACACACAACTGTAGTGCTGCATGCATGCAGCAGAGCAGATGGAGAGATGACAGGCACCAGTCAGTCCCAAGCTGACTTAAATGCACACCCTTTTCTCCTGCCTCTGCCAGCCAAACTTGGTAACAAGGCTCTTGCAGAATAATTCAGTTTAGGTTTGAGAACAAAAACAAAACTGTGATTATCAAAAACACTAGAAGATTAAGTAAAGATTTCTCTCCATGTCCGAGTTTCCAGTGTTGCAGCACTTCATGGTATGGGATTCTTATTACAGCCAAATTCATTCAAGCCTTCAACTGCTACAAGATTGAAGACTTGCCGAGTTACACGAACACACAGCTCTCAGCACTCTGAGCTACACAGGGCAGACAGTGTCCGCTGGGAGCAGCTCAAGGTAACAGCACACACCTACCCAGTTAGCACAGTTTCTGTTCATTGGCTGCTTATGTCATTTATCTCAATTAGCTTGAAAGGTAAGAGGGCAAAGGCACACAAAAGTAATCTAATCTTTATCCTAAAGCAGGTGCATACCGATACCGACCGAAAGCAGTAGAAGGGGAGAGGGCAGCACACAGAAGGCCCAAACAACTGCAACACAAAGAGCAAACAGCTGTAAAGGACACACCTGCTACGGGGAGGACCATTTTCACAAGCCGAGCTCTCAGACGTTTCCTTCAGGAAGAAGCTGCCTTTCGTTCCCAACCTTCATTAAGGTTAGGGGGTTTCAGTCACTTGTTTTGGTTTTAAAACCACCTTCCACTTACCACAATCGTTCTGAAGTTAGTAGGTTTTAAACAAGGGTGGTGGGGTTTTTTTGATTTATCCAATCTGGACATTTAACAAATTAAACCAGATGCACCCTTAGGAAAACCACACCTAAGTGGTCTTGAAACACTGAAATGAAGCCTGGAAATATTCAGGGGACTGTTGGCACCCCACACAGTTTTTCAGTAAACCTCTACAGTCAAAGAGACAAAAACTATGAACAGCAAGTTCTCTTTTCTTTAGAGCAGGGTGCAGAGCTGCCTTAAGCTGAACAGGAAAGGTCAAGGTAAGTACTGAAGCACCCCAGCCAAGGTTCAAATATTTTATTTTGTATTCATATAGTATGAAGGTTCTTATAGTTCCCACAACATATGATGTAGCATGCAGAGGAAAAACTAAACATTCAACATAAATCATTTTTCCCCACACAAACTAAAAAAAACCACCTCATCCCTCCCCTTCCATTCCCCCTAAGGAAATAACATTAGCACTAATTTCTATAATGCCAGCCAAGATATGCACAAGCAAATAAGAGAAATCGAAAGCATTTGCTAAAATGTCTGTAACAAATACTTATGTACAAAAAATTCACAAAAGACTAGTTCCCCCTTGAAGCAGAGCACATGGCAGTTGACACTGGAACAGATACAACCACTGGCTGGGATTATAAGCCACGTACTGATCCAGAGGAAGAAAAGTTAACATGTAGTGGAGATTTTTGTTTTGAACATTAACATTTACCAAAGTTTGGCAACATTATCTTTTAAATTATGCAAATTATGTAAACAAGAGGAACATTTCAAATTGATCTACATGCAAAACTTCATGTCATGCAAGGACACCAAGCACCTGGATTTCTCTCTCACAGACAGAGCCCATGATGTGCAGCACTCAGTTGAAGGAACAGCTATGGCAGACAGGTGCTCCACTGAAGTAGGTTCAGACAACCTGCACTTCCCACTGCTGATTATAAAACAATGCTTTTAATAGAAAAACTACTATACAGGAAAGATGTACTGTCCTAAAAATATCTAGCGAGTGTTTTTCTTCCAGCCAATAGTACCATTGCAGAAAAGGGAAGGGATGATATAAAGTTGTAAAACATGGCTCACTACTTTTATATCACACAAATGTATCAAGTTACCATCTGTTACAAATTATGATATGGACAAATCTAGAAAAGAAAAAATATCTCCAGGCAAAGGACTGGAGAACCGCAAGAGGTATAAATTTAGATAGTGTGAAGTTTTCCTCCTCTATGGCATTGGTTAACAAGATTTTCCCCCTGTATGTATGCTATATACATATATATATAAAATATTACCAGTTATTTATGCTACCTGTAGTATTCTTTAAATGTAGAGGGGAAACTATCATGGTTCAAACAACAGAATTTGAATGGCAAGAACATTTTATAATCTAAGTACTGTATAAAATAAGTAGATGGGAATCCTGCACAGTTACGTTGATCCTGATTTCATTAAGCTAAGCACAACAGAAAATCATGAATGCATCTAACACCTTGAGCAGCTCTATCTAAAATGAATCCAGAACAGCAGATTTGCCTTAACTTCAGGACAGCTGTAACTGCTCCCAGCTCCTAGGTGACGAGATCTAGCAGCCATCGAAGCATTCTACAGTTACTACATGCACACGAGGGCTAGTTCTTGGCAGTAGCGTTAAACTATATTCTCATTAAGTAGAACTGTACTAAGTTATTTAGCAAAGAGACACAGTCCCTGGTAATATATTAACAGGTATAAATAAACTTAGTCTCCTGTGTTACAAAAAAACGTAATTAAGGTGAATTAATAAGAAGCAATGCTTTGTCAGCCAGTCAATATATAGAAACATCTGAACAGTCACAGGAAAGGAAAAGAGCTGACCTAACACCCAGTTAAAATTTTACATTCTTCTACTATATATATAAAACTGTGTGAAATAAAAGTAAGGATGTATATCCATATATTGAACTGTTAATATTCTGCTTGGCACTTTGTACTCTAGTTTTGTTTCTGAATCAAAGTATATTAAATTAAAGCCCACCTAACTACTACATATAGAAAGCTACATATATATCTATATATAAATACACACACATATATATAGATAGATATTTCCTTGTTATAAAAGATGAAGAAAAATAAATTAAAAAGCCAACCCCTTCCCTTTCTCCACCACACTGATATGCTCTTTCCATCTTTGCTGTCCTTCAGACTTTAAAGTGCTACACCGAGTTATTGAGAGAATAAAAGTTCAATAACACTTAGTTGGCTTCATGAGGCTCGTGTTGGAAAATGTGGCTTCACAGAGAAAAATACTTCCATTTAAATACACAGAGAGCATTGCTGGACGTCTTGAGCAGATCTTCAGAGATGGAGAAGAAAGCAAAAGTGTTGGGTGGTGCCCTACTGAGTCACACGTCTACGACCATCTTTTTGTGGATATCTAGGCCTCCTACAACCTGGGAGAAAAATAAGTGGTCAGAAATGGATGAGAATTCAAAGTCAGCAGGATATAAAGAACACACTTCGTTCAGAAGATGCACTCACTCAGGTCAATCGTAACTCCAGTACTTCCCCAGCCTCTCCAAACTAATGCACATTTCACAAGTACTGTGTGATGTGCGAGTGAATTACATATGAACCAAGGCAATTATATTTGTACAATTTACACACTGAAAGGCCTGAAAGACAGCATAAGCTACACCATTTTGTTCTCCTCTCCCATCTCTGACTTTCTGTCATGTTTCGGCATGTTAAAGGAAACACTAACTTTACTTCTAAAACACCCTGTAAAGTTGTGCACCTCGACCTGAGAGGCAACGGGCCTTAGGAAAGGCAGCAGGATTTCTGACAAAACTGCATGCACCCAAAAAAGAATTCCCAGAGTTCAAAGGTGTACGATTCATGCACACAGAAAGAAAACAAAGGTGCGATGCCAGAGGAACTTCTTATAAGGTGAAAACAAACTTCAAAGGCCAAGTGCTATCGCCAAATGCCACGAACAAAAAAGTATTTTCTGTAGATAGATGGCACAAAATTCACAATGCAGGCACAAAGCAGGTGCCATGCAAGAACAAGAGGGTAAGAGATCACAAGGATGAAAGGTGTCTTGCCAGGAGGTCAACTAAAACTGAAGGAAGGAGGGGGGCGGGGGGAAAATAAACCAGTAATACAAGACAGGAAGTCTGGGCAGCAGCCCAAGGAAAAAAAGAAAAGAAAGGGTAACACCGTACTCGATGGAAGGCTGCAAGACAACAGCCCAGTGCAAGAAATGAACAGGTATTTCACTAATCTAGGTGTTTGCAGGCTGCAACTCATTCTCAGTTCTTTACAGATGGCCACACATTTTCACATGATGCCATGAAAATCTACTAAACAGAAACAAAAATGCAGACAATAGAACCTTTTTGCTTTACTAGTTTGGGGGAGGACAGATTTTTTTAATTTTCTTAGAACTTGCATTCATCATGTGTATGAACAGGTTATGTCTGAACTGAAGTTGTAAATTCAAGGAGTAGGAAACAAAAGCAATGCTCAAATGCCTATCAACTCAAACTGTGCTACCCAGGTGTATGTTCATTAATACCCCATTTGAAATAAATGTGTAAACATTCATTATTGCAATTTTCAAATGCTCAAGTTTCAGTGTGTCACTTTTTTTAAAGCAAGAAGGAATTTAAAACTTGCTGTCAACTAATTAAACAAGTACACAACGTGGGTGAAAACCCACAATTTCAAGCCTCAAGCGCTACATTCAAGCATTCTGCTCAGTAATACCCAAAGAGTTTTTAAAATGCACCTTTCAACTGGGCTTTTTCAAGAGCAGCCCTTGAGGGGTTACTCTTCCTGTAAGGGACACAAATCCAGCCACCCTGGCCTTTGTAAAATCCCTCTGTTCTGCAGATAGTGATAATCTCCCCGGGATCTCTCCACACCCTGTGAGGATAAACCTTTCTACAGGGCGATTTGGAGCCCACACCTAGTTTAGAGATTGGGAGATTAACCTAAAGTTCACCTCTGTGGAACACACCTCTCCCCGCCACACACCATGGCGGATAGTGACACTTTCTGAAAGCGAGATCTGCTCTGACCTACTCTGGTTTTACAGCTTTCAGCTGTCTTGACGCATTTTTGTTCCCCCCTCGGCAGACTGTACATGCCTGCCCACCACGCTTTGAGTTTGGTTTTTTTTTTTTCCACTCAGTGTAATCTATTAAGCAGCTAGAGAGACTTTTAAAATAACTGAAAGTGCTGTTTCTTTTTTAATCAAACATAACTGTTGACACAGCCTCCTGTGACAATGTGGTCACACCTCATCTTTAAAGCCGCTGATTCCTACCCACATAGAGACTGGAATCCAATATATGCCTTCATGTCAAGCTAGCATTTTTCTTTATATACAAAAATAATTAGGACTGATCTTCTGTTTAGTATGTCATAAAATGACACAGAGACGGATTTGTAGAAGTTGCTGTGCTCCAAACAAAGCTATCTTCTTCAAGCACACTAGATCCAATGGGAAAGTCTGCGTCCTGAAGGAACCATTCCCACCTTGCTCATAGGCCGTAAAACATGTTGCTCTACTGGAAGCCATTAAGACCAAAATGCCACCTATAATAAAGCTGTGTGTCAAAGGGGGTGACTGTTGCCAGACCAGAAGAAACACTCTGCTTTTATAATCTTACCCTTTACACTGTTTCCTCCTTTTTTTAATTCCAAATTATCAAAGTTTTCTTTAGAGGTTACTTACAGCACAGAATTCTTCAAAGGATATTCTTCCATCACCATCCTTATCTGCATTAATTATGGTTTTATCTACAATTTGCTGTAACTGAGTGTCTTTGAGATTGTTCCCAACCATCATCTTCAGCACCTGGAAGAGCTCTCCATTTGAGATATAACCGTCTTTGTCCATATCGTAAATGCGAAAAGCAACTGCAGAAGTAAAATATATATATACACACACATACATGTAAAACTTCCAGTAACAAATGTGGTCAGAAAAGAGCTATATATATTCATGTTCTTTGCATGAGCAATAAGCGCTGACACAATCCTGCACAAACTGAGAAAAATACTGCATTTTAAGTGAGATTTTGAACAGGCTTTCAGTTTCATTCTGAAAAAAATGAAACATCAGAAAAAATACAATGAATGGTGCTACTATCGAATTTGAAAGAAAAAACTCACTTCAGAAAGCACCCAGGTAGCAGTTCATTTGCAAGCAGAAAAAATTACAGCCTTCCAGAGAACACATTGATCAAAATCCCACCTAGTTACTTTGCTGCAAACCATTTGGCATTAAGACTGTATTTCTTTTTAAACATTCCAGTCAGGCAAATTTCTTTCCTAAACCTGTATTATGTCTTCAGTTAACGAAAGATGCACCAATGACTGAGCCTATCCCTTCCCCCCTGGGTCACATTGTGTTCCCGAGATGGAGTTCTCAAACAAGAATTTAGTGCTGTTCTACTGTGGTAGCAAAAAATTTAATAGTATTCTTAGGCTCCCTTTAAAGCAAAGCACATTGCTACACAGTTTTGTGAACTAAGTATCTCTACTTCCTTTTTTTTTTTTTTAAAGTGGGAAGAAACTGCAGATAATCAGAAGCAACCTCCCTGCAGAAAAGAGCGCTGGCAAGTTCTTCACACAAATGACAATGTGTGAAGGCTTACAATCTACCTTCGTGATTTCCCACTTTTAAAAAGAATCTGGATTTGCTGATTTCTCAATGTTAACTAACAAAAGTATATTTTTTGAGGGTCAAAAAATTTTTGTTAAGGAAAATCAGAATACTTACACCTCAACTTCTGTTCCTTATCTCCTTTGACACTGAACTGGGAGACTCCTTCTATAAATTCTAAAGAATACAATAAAGAAAAACATTTAAAGAAAGGTGCATTTTTTAATAAGCTAAGAAAAAAAATCAACATTTAGAAGCTTTTAGAAATTAGAAAGAGAATCTAAATTATCCTAAAATCTTTAAAATATTGCTTACCCCATGACACCAAAGTGTCCACATACCTTGACGCTTTAATATTCTTTAGTGAGAAGTACTTCAAACCCAATACCACGCTCACTGAGCAGACTCCTTCACATCTGTATTTAAGTAATTCTGAACAAGACTTTCCCCAGAATCTGATACAAAATTCTACTGAGATTTCTACTAGATCTACTCTAAATCTAGTGGGGATTCTCATTGTGAAGCTCCTCCCAAGATTTGTTTCTCAACGCAAGAATTACATGAAATTGAAAAATGCTCTAGAAAAAAAACCAACTTAAAAATTTATGTAACAGGGTAAAGAGAAAATCTACCCTGTTTAACAATGAAGTTCTTATCCCAGGAACAAACTCTCGAGTTGCCAAAAAAATCCTAAAAAACCCTGGGATGTGATGTGTCTGGATGAGATCCCGTAACTCAACTTCCTAGAACTGTGGGTAGTAAAAATGACAACAGTACAAAACTGCAAGCAAAACACTGTATAGGAAGAAGAGAGAGATACAGCAATGTATCGTTAGATTGAAAGGCCTACTACAGTTTCAAAAAGCTTTCTGAAACTAAGTCACCAATTCCTACACTACTTATCAACAAAATGCTTGGCTGGTAACCTGAGTTCTACTATTCTGTTAATGAAATATTAATCTAAATTTGGGGTCTTTCAACAAAAGAGTGCAAGTTTCCTCACACTAGTAAATTTTCCTCTTTATAGAATGGTTTGGGTTGGAAGCGACCTTAAAGATCACCTAGTTCCTGCCCCCCTGCCGTGGGCAGGGACACCTTCCACTAGACCAGGTTGCTCAAAGTCCTGTCCAACCTGACCTTGAACACACCCAATGATGAAGCACCCACAACTCCTCTGGGCAACATGCTCCAGTGCCTCACCGCCCTCACTGTAAAAAATTTCTTATATCCCATCTAAATCCACCCTCTTTCAGTTTAAAATCTTTCCTTTGAACCTCCCTCTGAGACAGAAATAAATAAGTTAAATGAATCCATCTTGGCCAGATGACAACAGTAGAATTCATTGCCACTTCTTGCAACAGCATCACTTTACTATGGAAGACTGATTTTCACAACTTCCTGTTCCCACCCAAGAGGAACGGCTCCTGATAATTGTACTAATCACAGCTCAATGTCACATGCAATATATAGCATCATCTTTCATCACTGCTTATTTCTCACAAGGGGATTTTGAACAATTGCATATAACAATTACTGCTTTCGAAACTAATGCCAAGAAGTCACAAAAACTCAACATTCCAGTAACACTGTTGTTCTTCCTATAGAAATTTATGGGATTTTGTAAAGGTTAGCAGCTTTTGCATGTTAACATCTTATTTAAAACGTTAGCATGTCAATATAAAAAGTATTTAATAACTTTACCCAATTAAAAAAACCTCAAGACAAACTGATTAACTTTTTCTAGTCATAAGCAACAAGAGATAGTAAGTATTACCTTGAACGGAAGTTCCAGATATTATCGCTCCTAAGGATCAGAGACTGTTTTAACATCAACTAGTAACAAAGACTTTTAACCTGCTGGCCCTTTTAATCATGAATATTTTAAATAATTCTAATTTTTTGAGGAATGTACTAACTCAAAACTTTTGTTTTTCGCTTGAAGTGTCTACTCACGACCATAAAGCGAAAACCGTAAAGGAAGCATCAGCAGAGAAATTTGGACCACTTTCACAACTTAGAAAACCATTTTCAAAATATTTCAAAAGACGGCTCTCGTAACATTTAGGTAAATACAACTTATGCACAGACACACCACTTGCACAATCTACCCCACTTTTTCAGTCTCTTCAGCCTAAGAATATACTTCAGGTAGCACCACAATTAAGAGTCCAAATTAGTGTACTTTAATAGATAGTCTGGAAAGCTACTACTAAACAATCTGCTCTCAAGCATTTCATCCAGGAGTGCTTTGCCCTAATGCACCAGAGAAACTAGTTTTACTGGTATTCAGTTTCACTAGGAATTAGCAGCTTATTTTGATTAACAAGTTTTCTTCACCTCTCCTTTCTCAGATGAAGCAAAATTTGCACTCCAAGGCTCCAGGAATCCCGATTAAATACCACCACCTGTCACAAAGCACCGTGGCTTACCTTTGAAGTCCACTTCTCCATTTCCGTCTGTGTCAAATATATCTATTACTCGCTGTACTAACGGGTTCTGTTGCAATTCAGGTAAAGACATGAACTCTTCCACACTCAAAGAACCAGAGTTGTCCAAATCGAGCTTCTTAAATCTCTTTCCTAGTCGTTTTATCTCATCAGCATCAACTGAAAGGAAGAAAAAAACACATCTGTTCTCAGAAATGTTTCAGTAAACCCTTTGCCAGTTAAATACAATGCACACTTCATTGCTTTCCTACCTGAATTTCTCCTACTTTATTACAACTATTAAACACTTACAGAACATTATAAAGATAACATCAGATTCTGAAGACAAACTAGCCTTTTTTTTTTAAAAAAAAAAAAGAAATAAACCTTACCTTTTTTCCTCCCTGCACCAGCCATAATACAGTTAGCTTTCTGACTCACTGAATACCACATGCTGACACAACATTTTTAAGGATTGAGGGTGCTTAACTAGTTCTTAGTCAGACAGCTCTTACAAATACCAGGTATGAAGAAATTAAATAAGAGACTGAGTTTTTGTAAGAGACCGAGGTTTTTTTTGAAGGAGCTAGCATTACATTCACACTAGACTAACACAGCAAGTTAGCAAGACAATTACATTAGTAAACATATTAGCAAAACTAGTGTTTCTTCAGCACACCAAACATGTGAGATCTCCTAGGACACAGGCCAAGTTAAGCAGGTTAACACAGTCCCACTGTTGACCAATTATTGCTCACCCACTCAAAACATCACCCAGACAAACCTAAGATAATTTTTCTCCTCCACAAACCAAAAATAAGACATACCTGTAACCATGACTGCGTACTTTTTTTTTTTTTTTGTCCCAGCAATCAAAAGCAGATTCAGGTTTGGCAGCAGTACCACTTCATCTATCCTCTTAGCATTTAAAGAAAATCTCAGTCCCTGCTTTGCCGCTCTGATTTTGCCAGGAACAGACTAAGTCTGTGAATCCATAAACACCACTAAAAAATTCTGTGCCCTATTACCACTGAAAAGGTTTAAATTTTTTTCCCTGTAACAACCTGAAAACTCCTTGTCAGCAGCTTGATTTATGAGACCAAAGTAGTTCACAAATTGCTCACCATGTTTGGCTACGAAGGAGGAACTGAGGTTCTTGGGCAGTCCTAGAAAGTGGCCAGCACACAGCAAACCACAGCAAACACATCTTACAGAACCTTTCAAACTCCCTGTACCCACTTCTTCCCTAACATGAAGGGTCTCCTCAACATTTCTTAGCTCCATTTAGCGCGTTTGCTGCAGCAGTGAAAGAAATTGTCTGCTAACTTCTACGAGGCACATACTTACAGTAGTTTCCTCAGTTTCCAGTACGCAGTTTGGTATTTCAGCTAATTAGGCTCTCGACTGCAATGACACCACATTCCTTTTGCCACCAGTTTAAGCACAAACCTAGAATATGGTTGAAGGTGTGCCCTCAACAGCACCATGCTGCGGTGCAGTGTCAAGAGCACATTACCGTCAGCAGAGCTACACAGAAACCCCTCCGCGTCACGCGGAAGGAGCCGCATCACCATATGGTAAGCTATATGTAGAACATAATCATGATTCTAAAAGAAGACAGTGTTAAAAGAGAATGGCAAAGCAGAGCTCCACTGGCAATTAGCCTCAATAGTTGCTTATGAGTTCTGCCAGCACAAAATGTTTCTTCTCACCAATACACGGAAGGTATGTGCCAACTCTTGCTTCTGTCCACAGAAACTCCTTGGTTTCCATTTTCCTCAAAATCTTAAAACTGTAAATGGAGTCAGTCAGCCTTTGAAATGGTAGGCACTACCTACCCTCACTCCCTGCCCTGCCGCCCTGAGGTTACCAGATGCACTCCAGTTTAATGCAAAGCCAGCACCTTGGCAAGCTATTAACATGGGAATCTCATTTCTACCTCAAGCTCTACTCCAGACTTGCAACTCGCATAGAAAGAGTTAATATCCTAAAAAAAAAAAATCCTCACAGCATTAGCATCTGAAAAGGCACAAAAACATTAAGCATGGCTTGTCACACTACATACGTAAAATGAATGCATGAACAATTTATACCTTGTCTTGTACAGCCATGACATCAGTCTCTCTAATTGTATTAGTCATGTTTAAAATGCTGTACTAGTCTAACCACAACTCTCCTGCTTCCTTACCTCCACTCAGAAATCGCAACATCTTTCAATTATTTTGTCGTTGTATCAATTCATTATTTTGTTAAGACAAATCCCTCACAGATGATCTGTTTTTCAAATCAGAAGTTTGCAATTGCATCTAGAACTCATGCTGGGAAACCTTGAAATATGTTCTGTTACTATTAGAACTATTTCCTACTGGAAAAAAACAATAAAAGGTACATGCGTTAACTTCACTTTAAAACAACTAAGCAGCAAATTGGATGTATTCACTATAATGTATACAATGCACCGTCATCCTGTTACCGAATCAGTGAAATCTCACTTTCAATATTAATAGAAAGACTAGGAGTGACAAAAAATGAAAGATTAAAGCCTCCTAAGCAACCCAAAATACTTCATAATTCTGCAATATCAGAAAATCACAATGGAGAAAAATGAAATTAACATTGCTGGATCTTATCTCCCCTACCACACAAACTGATGAGTTCACGAATTGCAAGTTTTGAAACACTTCTAACTTACACTTAAGGAAACCCCAAGTATCAGAACACAGCAATGCCATTTTTACAGATCAGAATGTAAACAAACAGATCCCTGAGCCGGGACTGAGGACCAGCAGTCATTAGATGGCACCATTCCTCAGAACCCCAAAGCAGCACTAAGCAAAGTCTTATTTCACTACTCCAGTCCACTTCCTGGTTCAGGAGCTGAAATCCACAACATTTTTTCTCACAAATATATAAGAAACACTGAAAGTGAGACCCAGAGTTCTGTCAATGTTCTGCAATGAAGCAGAGCTCATTACGTATGCAGGCCAGTCAAACCCTACTACACAGCTTTAAATTATTACAGCTGGCAAGACAGGCAAGACTAACTCTGCTATCACACTGGCCTGCTGAAGTAGAAAGCTAAGATCTTCCACACAAGCTGTGCTAGGAAAACAAACTTTTGCCAGAAAGGGATTTTATCTTGAGCTAATCTGTGTCTGGCAGGACCTACCAATATGAATCTAAAAAGAACATTTTATTGGGACATTCAGAAACTGATCCACCACACACAATGTTAACAAGCAATGCTACACTGAAAATACATGCTCTGCCATCATCTGTTGGGCCTCAGAACCACTGTTCAGTTATCCAGACTTATAAAGTTTGTATCTATATCTGCAAATAGCCAGATACTTCAAGCATTGCTGGTTTGTAAATTAAGAGAAGATAAAGCACCAAATCCTCTTTTTTTCTTTTTAAGGTCGTAGTCAAAGAGGTTAAGATTATAGATGATACAGACAAGAATCAGATGATGGGAAGGGAAGAAGCTGGAGAGGCATGTAAGAATATTTCTCAGGAATGGTTTTTGTGTTTTGCTGAACTGTAGCAAAGCAACAACTGCCTAAATTATGAAGTTAAAGAACAGTCTTCATGCTTAGAAAATGATAATTACTCTTTCTCCACATATACACATATCCAATTTCATAGCTCATACAGTCAATTCCAGTTCAACTGCAACACACAGTCCAGGTACAGATGTTTAGCAGCAGTTTCTACTAGAAATGAGAAATCTGTAATCCCATTTCTAACCCTGAAACATTCGAGAAAAGGGTCTGCCTGCACTAGAGAGCTGAGAGAGGTTCTACTCTTGGGAGAGAAAAACAAGTCAAAGCACAGTACTGAAGAAGTCAGTATCTCTGCCAGAAGCTGACCAAGTCTCAATCTCGTCCAAAAATTTGTTTCTGGCGATGGATACACCATGGATGACAGTACTTACAGGAGAAAACAATGAAAAATCAAAGTAATTACAGGAACAGGAAAATCTCCTTTAACAGTTCATGAGCATAAAAGCCTCTGTTCATAATGAACATACACGGTAAAAACATCATCTGCAGATTGGCGTTTCATAACTGACTATATGAGAACTTCGTATCAGACCCATTATTTTTTCCTTAAATGTATGCAACCACCTCACCCGCCTTTAAAGTCCCTTCCACTAGCTGAAATTCATAAAGCTTATTTAAAAAGTCTTATTTCAGTAACATCTTTATCTTCATAAAATAGCTTTAGAAAAATAAAGTAATAAAAATACAAATAAGGGGTGAATGCATTACAGTATAAGCCTCATTTTAAATTTGCATAGTTTTTGTCTGTCTTCCTTTAATTCGCAGTCATCAATTCTGCTGATACTCTCTGCTTAGGCTGAGCATACCTAAAAAACATGTAGCTTTTCTGGGTTTGGGTGGTTTTTTGTTGCCTGATTTATTCTGAATTTTTAAAGGAAAACAGCGAACATGTACATGTAATAGCAAATTTAAAAAATATCCTGTTCATTTTTTGTTCAGATTCCCTCCGCGAATACGCATATACAACAGTTCTCATCTATGATGGATGTGCCCCTTTTTCAAGAATGCTTTTTCCTCAGTATTTAGCAACAGCCTGACTTCCTTAAAATTTCACATCACTGAAGAGCAGTGTTTTCCGAGCCTGAACTAAACACTTCTTTTCTGTCTTCTCTAAAGGCTCCTCACAGGCAACCTAGCACCCACACAAGCATCCTGAAGCTACACTGGAAACGTGAGGTACAGCGTAGTTCAGATACAGTGAAGGTTTCCGAGCCAGAAGGACTGATGGTGGCAGTAGCAGCCAGAATTTTGCAAGACAAGCTCAGGAGACCAGGACAGAGATGAAAACACTAGCAAATCCAAGGAGGTCCAAGTGCACTATAGTGTAAACAGGGTGATAACATCACTGAGCAAAATAAGGAGGATCAAGCTTTGTTTACATCATTTGAGGCAGAGTTTGCCTGTGACTCATCGCAGCGGTCTGAGCTTCCTTGAGCTCTGGCTACAGTGAGCATTCCCCTAACCTCAAATGCAACTTAGCCTTTTTTTGTTTTTGTGCTTTGCTCACCAGCTGACATGAGGCTCTGTGCTTCCTATGCTTTTCAGCAGAATCAGAAAGTATCCCACCAGCTTGCCACTGATGACTGAGCTCACTAACACACTAACTGGACTGGCTGGCAATAATATCTGTTAAATGTTTTTCTTTAAAAGGCTTTGCTGGTAGTCCAGTAGGAACATCAGATTATTCACCGTTTTAAAGCACACAGAATTATTTATGTTTATTTCATAAGCCATTTTGAATTTTGTTCACAAGAACGTGGGTTTTATTAAGCAGGTCCAACATTAAGGATTTTTGTTGAAGAACTATCAGCATTTTCAAAAGATTCCTCTTCCATCCAAGTATTGAAATTCTAGAGCCAACAATACCTGCTTCCTATCTTCAATTCATTTGCATACATCTAAAAATGTGATGAATCAGGTTAAAATACAAGAACTCCATGCGTCCAACAAGCCACATGCAAATGTTCCGCATAACTCCCACTTTAGTACAGCAGCTTTATCTTCCACCTCGACACTCTCCGATCTGTTGATGCATATTGCTGAACACCCCGCTCCTTTCCCCTGGCGCAGAATAGCAGAGGATGCTCCATGATGTTTTACAACAACTGCCGGTTTCAAGCTGTTACTCACATAACTGATGCTCAGATACGACTGTAAAAATCATTCAAGTGTCAACTCAAACTCTCATTAAAAGCAAATTTCAAGAGTGCAATGTGTTCTATGCTGAAAAACGTAATTCAGAAAATTTAATGATTTTTTTCTATAGTCAATGTAGAGGTGTATGGCTAGTTTGCTAATTATGAGAGTTAAAAGTAAAGAATGCCTTAAAAATACAGATCTCTAAAATCCACTATGTTCAGCAATATTTTAAGATGATAATTGCTTATGTATACAGAAACACTGTATATCCATTGCTGCAGAGCACACAACACCGGCATCTGCAAAGTGTACAAACCTCAGAAAAACTGTACATCTCTCAGGAAAGAGGTGCTGGGCACTTCTGAAATTTAAGTGTTTACCTGAGTGTTTAAATTTCTATTTAAAAGGTTAGCTTTTCAAATAACTCTTAAAATACTGGCTCAAAGTTATAACTAACAAAAAAACCCAAAAAACAGACCAGAGCGCAGTCATGGATAGCCTTGTTTCCACACATTTTTCAAATATGAGATCATTATAAATGAGAACATTGCTAAGGTATCAGGAAAAAAAAGACTTTTGTAAATAAAACATGTTCTGAAATTTACTTTAAATGTTTCCAGGTTAAAAAAAAAAAATATTTTTCTCCATTAGAATGGATTGCAAGATCTCAAAATAAAACAGACCTTTCAGCAAAAGCTCTCACCTCTATCTACAGTCTTGTCTGATTCAGGAATATAATGTTTCAGAGTAGCAACCAAGACAGCCATTTCAGTCTTGGGGATCAGATTTCAAAAAGATGACGCCCTTGAGAACACATTCAACCACTTGTCTTGTATATGCTTACACACAGCTGGCCTAATCCTTTTCATGACTTCAGATGTGTCAATTACAATTTCCCAAGTTAGAAAAGAGATACTAGTCTCCTTATCCTAAAACCAAAACATACTAGAAAATATTGTTTATACTACAAAATATTATACTATAAAGTGTTGCTTGCTATACTATAAAATAGTTTTCTTCACAGCTTTTTGGTATGATAAAATTTTCTTACAGGAATTTGACATAGTTTGGCTGACATCAAATTTTCACTATGTAAAACAGCACTAGATTTTCAGTAATTTCACAGCTGAAAAACAAAACCATACTGTTTTAAAGAATCCAACAACAGTAATTTATCCACTGAAAAGAACTAATGTTCTAAAATGAAGGGTAAAAAGAATATTCTTGACTATTTAATGGTATGCATCCTATGCATAGTACCCTGAAATTGCTTCCTGTAACTGCCAATTTTAAAACGAAATTATTCTTTTAAAATGAGACCCTGAAATAGCGACTGCAATGCCAGGCAGAGGTTATAATGCAATGCCAGCATTCAGACAGCATAAATACATTGTTGCTAACTGACAGTCTCCCAGAAGTCTAACCATTCAAAATCCTTAACAAATGAGCTTCAAAAACATTGTTTGCTCTTACCCTGAAAAGCTTTTGTCCTGTGACTGACAACTACACGGATGCAGCATGAACATATATTCGAAGAACAAGGCGAATGCCTACTCAGTGGACTTTTCCACAGACATGCTACTGCACACATTTGTGCCCCAAAAAAACCCTGCTCTTTCAGGATACTCAGGCACGCAGAATCTTTAAGCACAGCGCTCTCATCCCAGTGATTAGGCACAAGACGCTTGCGATAACTGCATCTTCCCCAGTGTATGCAGTTATGTTGCCTGGACCAGCAGTTGACCTTCCCTCTACTGTGAGAGGAGCCATCAAAGCAGAAAAAGCTTTAATCATGCAAAACCTCAGATTTACATGACGATATCCTAAAACACAGCTTAACTGCAGAATTTAATGCAGAAATCTTCTTCCTCTGCAATAAATAGCCGCAAACAAGCTCAGTAATAAACTTCTGGGTTGGCAGTAGCTACCAATGAATATAGCTTGTCCTAGAATCAAAAGTTAAGCATGGCAACACACTGCTTGCAACTCTGGCAGAGATGCATATAGTTAAAAAAAAAAAAGTCTTCAGAAGCCTGTTTGTCCCTAAGGAAAAACTAACCAATGGAGCAATGACCTCATATTGACATATATAATCCAGAAAAAGATTACTGAAGTCTTCATCATATGACACTTCCACCAACATATCCGTATTTAACAAAATACACACTGAGAGCATAAAACAGTGATGCAGTGCTGTGTGTAAGATTGTCAAGTGTTTGCAAACTCATGACTCAAAGCATAATTCGTGTGGATCTGTATATTAAGCACAAAGGATTTGCAAATTGCTAGCAAAAGCCTCATTTCTCTGCATATTTATTTAGAAAGAGATTCCTCCATAATTATTTATTTTGTATTACTGTTTGACTTACAAGAGCTGGAGTTCAGTTATGACTAGCACTACAAAAGCAGCCTAGAAGATAGTCCCTATCTTGCAGAATTTATTATCCTAAGAACAAGATCTGATTAACCGAAGAATGGGAATTTTATCAAGCAGTCCATGCACACATAGGCCTACACAGGATTTAGTGCTGAAGAAAACATTCAGGGAAGAAAGCAGTCAAAAATAAGTACACTTAGCATAACACCACAGGAACACTGTACAAGACACCCCTTTCTTTGGCCAGCTTTAGGCAAGAAGTACTTTGTTATTTTTACAGGGTAGACTAATCCTACAAGACGAAGCAATGAATTTCATGCTCAGGTGGCCAACAGTAACACTGAGTGGCTGTTCACCCAGATGCCTAGATGCAAGCATACACAGGAAAAAATTGCTCTTTGAGCCTCAAACTCTTTCCTCTGCGGGTACAAAGACAGCTTAGACAACGCACTTTGCTCCTAACATAGCACATACAGCACCACAGGCTGTTCCACATCTCCAAGGAACTGGCACTGGGACTAACACTTCACTGTACAGACATCAAATCTACCATAAGTTTGTTTCGTATTCTAACAGAAAAATTGAAAAAATCTTTGTGGGGTTTTTTTTTTTTTTAAAGATGGACTGATTTTTGATTTTACAATCTATTAGCAAAAGCTGTATTTTTCCAAAGGTAATATTTCATCTTTTAATTTTACCCTTTTGGTTAGTATATAAACTGCATAATTGTTTAAGCAGTAAATTCACACACAAAAGCTGTACATATTGATCTCCAAATAAGATTAACCTCTCTAACAATATAATGTAGCAATGAAAAAAACTTACAGTGTGAGCACATTTCCAAAGGGTAGCTTGCCTCATTTCCCTGAAACACAAAGAGAACAAAGTTGCAATTATTTCCAAGTTAGCTCTGAGGAACTATTTCACGTTTCAGCACTGTAAAGATGTCAGGCAGTACAAGTTCCACAGTTATTTAAAAATATAGTTATTTTTTAAACTAAACAACCATGGACAGTGTTTTATTTTGATAGGTCTATGTTACCAAAACATATGAAGAAATATAAAACCATTGAGAGGCGTCTTCTGATGAGAATTCCCATGAAAATATCAGCAGTCCACATGAGAACTTCAATCCCATATTCTAAACTCCAAAAATCAAACTCATTACTTGCATATTGTGCAAATGCTACTTTCCTAGTTAAAATAATGTTTAATTTCAAGATTTCACATAATCTGCTTTACCATTTTGTTCTATACACACAAACAGACATGTCCTTATGAATTACCATGACAAACCTTACTCAATTAACATAGGAAAACTGCAGCATATTTTCTCCCCAGAGCCACCTGCCTATTCCCCACAAAAAAGATTCACACAGGAAGAATGATGCAAAAAAGTGGTTTACATGACCAGAAGTTGAGACGTAACAGCTTTACATTTAAATATTTTTGTAGTGTACTATGTAAATATGTTCCTGTTTTGTACCAGAATGGAAAGTTAAACTAAGATTTTAAATCCTTGCTGCACTATACCACAGTCACAGTAAGAAATATTACAACTTTGAGTGTACAGTTACTTTGAACTTGCACATACTGAAATCCGCAACTACTGCAACGTGAACGCCAAAAGACATTACAACTAAAAGTTGATATTTTTTTCCCCAAGTGCCTCACTTTGAGCCAGAGAAGATCACAACACACACGCTTAATATTTTTTCAGAATCAGTCAGTAAAGGAGTGACCAGGTAACAGAAGAGATTCACAACAAGTATTTTCAAAAAATTGTTTTCAAGAGGGTGTTTTATACAAGAAAAAAAAAAACCACACCATATTTCAGATGAGTCTAAGACACATTCTATTTAGCAGTGATTCTCTTGCAGTGTGGAGCATAAGGGATTACATAGCTAAGCATTTGCACAGAAAGACATCTCAAAATTATACAAAATTGAACAGAAATACAGAGATTACTTGACAGAAGAAAAAATTAAAAGGAAGAACTACATTTAGCTTGGAAGCATGTGACTGCATTTCCCAATAAGGACAGAAAGTGGCAGAACAAACTTCTTCTCACAGATCTGAGAGAAGATCGGGGGGAGCGGGTTGGTTTGCCTTTTTTTACCTCCAGAACACATTCCCTTTGCTTATCCCCCCACAACCCACAAGCCCTCTTGCTTCTTTAAAACAGTTAATACATTTGCTTTATAAGTAGAGCAGCAAAGATACAGCCTTAACTTGTTCCCCAACGTCTACTTACAGCAAGAAAAGTAGCAGAACAGAAACACAGATGAGGACCATCAGGTCCCTAAAACCTCAAAAGCATGACTGAGATATTCTACAAGAGAAATTTATTCCACTGTGGCAGGGAAGCCGGGAGAACAGTGTCAAATGGAAAGTCTTGGATGGAACCCAATCAAAGTCTTAAAAAAAACAGTAAAGACCAAAACAGGTAGTAAAAGCCTAGTGTACGTATATGAATATAAAAGGGTAGGGGATTTAAAATGGGGGAGAGCAGAATTTTGAAACAAGAAGAAACAGGAACCAGGGGATCCAGCTAGGCTGCTCAAGACACGAGGTCATGAAGAGGCAAGAAAAACACCAGACTGGAAGGCTGCAAATTAAAGGAGAAAGTTGAGTTAAAACCAGTGCACTTCTGCACATGCACACAAAAACACACAATAACAACTACATTAGAAGACTGTTCTAGGCACTTACATCCTTGTTCAGGTGTTGGGAGAAAGTTAATTTGTAGTACAGGCTACTGAAAATCAATCTGCCACAAGAAGCATAGAGTGCTTCTGTAAATTGTGCAGGAATAATTAAAAAATGGGAACAACTTCTTTCAGTTCATGAACTAAGTGTACAGAGTATTACTATGCATCTAGATGCACATACTAAGCATAATCAAGTTATGTACATGAAGTAGCCTAAAAAAATACTGGCAGAACAAAGTGAACAAACTTCAGCTTAGTTTTTCTGTGAAGCAGTTACTGTTAAAACGAAGTGTTAAGAATACTTACCTATCCAGGACTGGAACTTGGATATCTACAAAAAATTGGAAAAATCTAGTAAGTGACAATGTAAAAATTATATGATTATTCAGTGTTTTCCACACAGTATTTAAATAAGGTATTTTAAAATCAGTGGTTACCTGCTATTGATGTGCTGAGTGTTCATCTTCACAGGAGAATCCAAAAGTCTACTAAAGATTTGAATCCTTCCTTTTTTTTTGGTACAAATAAATGTTGAAGCTACTCATGCCAAGACTCCTGTTCGCACAGCTGTGACCTGGACAAACACAAAGGTGTTCCTCCACACTGAACACTTGATTCTTGGAAATGAAGATTAATGATTTGGTCTTGGGGGCAGGCATTTTTCATCATATTCCGAACAGCAGTACAAAAATGTCACTTATTTGTCCCCAAATACAATCAGTATGCGTACACGCTGTGCGAGACACAGTATAAGCCCTGAAACACAAGGGCTAAATAGGTTGAATATTTTCTTGCTGTTTAAGTATAGGCAGGTAAGGCAGTAAGACAGAAGGTCCAGAGCTACATCCACATTAATGTGTTATGAGAAAAAGCAGGGCAGGAAGCACAGCCATAAGACTGCATAAAATACCAAACAAACCTTTTAAGAATAGGAAAAAAAAATATCAGGTACTCATTTTCATCTGTACAATTTTAATGCAAAGAATTACCAAAGTTTAGCACCAGGACTATGTAGCACTCTAAAGAATGCTGAAAAATATTAATTTACGATTGGACACATTAACAGAAAGTTTGACAATAACTGCAAAACATCATCATATATATAAACCTTATTCAAACCAAGACTGCACGGACATTTATTTTATAGCTTTAAGATAATGATACACATCTATAAAGACAAGTCACTGTAAAATCTCCAAACAGCATGTCATTTCATCTCTGACAGAGAAGCTGATTTGTACAACTGTGCAGAGTAACAAGATTCTGATACAGCTCGTAAGATTGCAAACTTAAACTCATGATATTAGTATTTCCTGCCAGATATATAGTCAGCATAGCTCACATGAAGTGAGAGTATCCTCTCATATACACCATATTAGCACATTTAGAAATGAGGGACACTTGGTTTGTTAAGAAATGCAGTTTCTACAGCATCAACACTCCACAGATTCACTTGGCACCTACGTCCAGTATAAAAGACGCTTTCCTCAGCTGCATCTGGGTATCACCACCATACTGCTGGAGTTCAACTCTTTTCTCTTGAGTTACACAATCAGAAGAAGAGGCTGGAATACTACAGATATTTGGAATAGCCTTATCCGTTTAGACCAGCCTTAAAATTTTCTTGAATGCTGCTAGATACCTACAAGTTAATTCCTGGTTAAGCAGCAGCAAAATCATGACTCACAGACAGAAATAATTACAAGGAACAGTCTAGAGCCTACTAACAGAAGGCTGACCAAATTCTAAATAATGCAGAAATACCATTTTACTAGACAGAAGTCAAAATGTGTCACTGACGTATTCCAGAAGTTCGTATGACATGCAGTTTGTTCCTTTAAGAATAAAAACGTTCTTTGCAGTTTTATTCTTTACTAATTATTCTCCTTTTCTCCTTTCAGCAGCTGTGCCTTTTTTACTGCTTAAATGTAACCTATTAATGGACTTTAGTCTTTATCTCTTCTGTAGATTATACATAAAAAATGTGTTTCTTTATTTGTCTTTCTTTGGCAGTTACTTCAAATACTCATCGCTTTCTCTTCTGAAGATCAATTTTGTACGCGCACCTCCAAGGTAGGAGAGTTAAGGGCAATTATCACGACAAGTTTCCTCTTACTGACAGACATGAAGAGCTGTGGATAGAAAATAAAAAAGGAATTTCACAATTAGCAAAATTAGCAACAGAATCTAAATTCTTAGCTGAAATTGTTTAGAGAAAACAGCTTGTACACAGTAAGACAGACAGCAAAACATCTTCAGCATACATTAGAATACACTTTCAAGGTCTGCTTGATTGTACACTACTTTTCTACACAGAGTACCTAGCAGTTCCGAGACGTAAATTACAGTGTCTGCCTTCAATTAGTTCTCTGCTTTTATAAAAGCAGAAAATGTGTTTAAATGCCAGCAAGTCACAACTGTCAGCTTAGGACTCGTCTCAAATTTAGTTCTAAAAAGGTGATGTGTGAGAGACTACAAATACAAATGAACTCCTGGACCAGTTTAAAAGTGAGATTGTTTCCAAGCTTTTGACTTGTTTCCATAGCCAGGCAATAAATTAATTCAACAAGTGGCAAGAGGGGTCTCCTCAGATTTGTTTAGTACAGGTACAGGAGTAGTTGTCCGAGATTTACTATAATTTCTGCAGCAACATACAAAGTGTAACAAGCTCGTCCTTGTTGTAAATGGCCTTAAACGTGCACACTGGCTTGATGCTGCAGCTGTCTGTCACACCTCTGCACCATAGCTTCCCACAGAAGCGGAACATTACTACTCTGCGTTCGTGTTTTTTATACGTAGGCACCTCATGGGGTGTTGCCAACACGCTATATATGTTGTGCTTCCTGCATCTCCTACATTACTGATTATCTTTGTTGTCACAAGAAAGAAACTTGCAGTGTGCAAGTGAAACAGTTAACCAGGCCATGTAAGCTGTGGGTCAGAACTAGGGATTACCAAGATAATCAACTTAAATTCTCAAGTTACACAAAAAGTTGTCTTCCATCACCACCCACCGCTGTAACTAGAAAAGAATGGAAGTGTAAAGAAGAAAGATGGCAGAGGCTGGCAGTTAGCATTCAAAAAAAGCCTACTCAAAAGACTCTTCTTCCTCCTCTTCCACAAACACACAAAACACTTCTCTATCTTTT